AAATATGATTGAATTGACTGTTGAAAGTGCTCGTTTACGTGAAAAACAACTTGAAAATGAAATTGGTAAAAAATATTAGAAAAAATGAAGAGAAATTTATTATTTTAATTTTATCTTTGTTGTTTTTTTTTTGTTTCTAGTTGATCTACGAAATGAATTAACTAAAGAACAAGATTGTCGACAAAAACTTGAACAAGATATTCTTGAATTACGACGAGTTAGAAGTATACGAATGAGATTATTTCTTTTAAACAAATAAAACATACTTTTTCTTTTATTGTTAGATGTATTAGTAAAAAAATTAAAACGTCTTAATCGATCATCAGCAACTACACGTAACTGTTCTAACAGTAATCGTGATAAAAAAAGTAAGAAATTTTTATGTTTATCTATGAAAATAATTCTTTTAATAATTAGATGAATCATCTTCACCGCCAACAAAATCAATACCAATTGAATCAATTTAATATTTAACTTTAGTAGAAAAAATGGACATAGTGATATTATTATCACCATGATATATTTGAACATCGAATCTCTGTTTTTTTTTTTTTCTTCTTTTTTTCTTTGTCATTTTATCTGTATATGCACTTTTGTTTGTTCATGAAAAAGCTCACCTAAAAAAAAACAAGAAAAGAACTATCATACTTTTGTATATTTATGATTTAAATAAGAAGAATTATTTAGCATATAAACGATCATTTATTTGCAAAACTATATCTTTGATCATATTCAAATAAAAACATTGATATTTCAATTATCCATCAATCGATTACTTAAGAGAATAGAAAACAGAACAAGAGAAAAGAATTAAATATTCCAGTCATAGTTAATTATCTCAATTATCAGTTAACACACACAGATACATAGTAGTGAACAAAAATTTCCGTTTCAGCTGATTTTGACTATTGTTCATACTGAAAGTCTGAAAATTTGTGTATGCATACTTTATTAGGAATGTAGATCATTGGCATTGTGATATCATTATTGCTTAATAACAAAAAGAATTACGATGGACGGCATCTAATTTTTGCTTTGAGCATTATAACCTAAAAAAAGACTGCCTACAAAATTTGACACTGTTTCTTAGTAACAATATGATTAATTCTTAATATTTTTATATGTAGCTAAGATTCTGTCCATGGTTTTACTTCACTCAAAAGATAAGTTCATTTGCTCGAATATTACTGTTTCTGGATCTTTGCAACTAACAAGATTATCATCTATGTGTCATTTCTTTTTAGTGCAAGATTTGCTCTTGAAAATTGTAGATAATATAGCGTCTAACTGTAGAAGAAGCTTCTCACAAAGTTTGAGCTCGTTTTATTGAACTATTACTGAGCTATTTCACGTCCTAAAAAGTAGTAGATGGTTTCTTTCCATAACAATGAGCATAGTCTTTGAAAAGATTGATGAATTTCAATGAAATTAGTAATAGTAGTAACTAGAACATAGTATTAAATATTGAGGATTTGATTGATATAGATTACTCTTTCTTTCCAGGGTTATGAGTATTCATGAGTGATGCAGATTCTTTCTGATGTGGTGCAAAGCAAAATATTTCTGTAATCAGTTGTGTAGGCATTCATTCTCCGTACTTTGAATGTTTTTTGCAAACGTTTTCTAATCTTCAATATGAATATTCGTTCATCTTCAGCAATTTTCACAAAACGGTGATTTTGGCCTCCATTTTTTACGCGCAATAATTAAAAATGGAGATCTAGTCTCCAGTCAGCTAAGCATTGCTTCGCACTACGTTTATGCAGTCGCTTTTACATATTAGACACACGCATCCAAATTTATCATTTTCAGTGGGGATGATCTAGTAAACGAAAAGTTAGAAAATACTAGTTTTGATTTGAGGATGAAATTTCATGATCAAATTTATACAATTGGTTTTCCAATCTTCAAGAGAACTTCCAAATATTTTAGAGAAAATTACTCAAAGTGGTAAATTTTTGTGGACTTGTTTTTCTTACAAACTTCAAGATAATTAAAAATGATAACAAGCTATTCTTATTCATCAAAGCTGTCTGGACAACTGATAATAGATAATGAATCATACAAATAATAATACGATAAATCCATAGCGTCCTCTAAAAACATGTTGATATGTGTTGATAGAGTTCTCGTAGTAATGAATTTTGTCATGTCTTCTTTACCATTCCTTTTATACTTCGATCATTTGATTGATTGCAACATAGATAATTCGAGTTTCTGATAAGAATGATACGAAAGAAACTTGTTGCTGTGATCTGTAATATATCTCGGGAGGTAAACTGTTGTGTAATTAATTGTAGAAAATATTATTCGTTGTTTATGATGTATAGATGTTTCTGATGATTATCATTCGTAGCTTTACATTGTATTTTGCACTCAAGTGACATTTGAATGTTATCTAGTTTTTTATTTAGAGAAAGTAATAAGCATTCAAATGCATTCATTTTGCTGTTCTCTGTTCCTGCCGCCCAGCAGGTAGTATGAAAACAAAAGCTTTTTTTTCTCTTAAATATTTTTTTCTTGTAAAGATATAATGTATAGAATGCTTCAGTATTAGCTCATCAGATAGTAAATTAAACGCGCTTCGAATGAATCTATGCATTTTTTTATTGAAAAAAGATTTGTTCAAAATAATTGAACAAAAACTCAAGTGTCTTTTGTTAATACATGCTGATTAACGTACTCATATCTTAATAGTCATGTAAATAAAAAGTTGTTTGGACATTTTTAATAATTATTCACTCTTACCTTCAAGTAATTGAATATGTGTGTATTGAGTTGAATCATTTTACTTTAGCATAAACAGGAGATATGGAAAATTTGATGAAGTAATCTCAACATTTTGAAGTGTTGCTGCATCAGTTATGTATGTATGTTGTAATATCATAGAAAAATATAGTTTGAAATACAATAAGTATTCAAAGAAAAACTACAAGAAACTGAGTTTCTGTTAGACTAATATTTGTTTTCGCCTTCGAAAAGAAAAACATCTAATGTATTGTAAATAAAATGCATGGACAAAATCATTCATCAGCAACATAATTTCGAAAAACTAAAGCGTATGTATATCGAGATGATGAACTTTCCAAGAGTTTTTTTTTAAATATGCAATGTGTATGCTAAGTTACTCTAGATAAACTAAAAAAATCAGCGCTAAAAATCTTTGTTCAGAGGAGTTATCAATAAAAAACTAGCGTTAACGACGTGACGAAGTACAAATACACCAATGAAAAAATGCTCTTATAACTGAATGAGAAATTGAAAACCTATTTCAAATGATATAGATCCTTCTTCAAAATCTCTAGATAATGATAAAACAAAAATTGTTACTTCGAAACTTGACAAGATCTCCTAAAAACCGCCTTTTAAGAGAAAAGTTTTCGAGTTCGATCTTGCTGAAATTTTCATTAAAGATGCAGTTCATATCGCCGAGTCTAGTCTAAAATTTTTGCATTTTTTTCTCCTATGATCAGAGAGTCACTTATTTTAATTTGCACGCAACTGAAAGAGTCAATATTTCTACGTATGTCTATGTTGAAAGAACTGATTCAAAAAAATAATTCTTATAAAGAACCACAGTAAAATGAAAGGCGCAAATATCCTTTTCAAATTTTGTTTATCACAGGATTCCTTGACAACGTTTTGATAACATAAGATCGAATAGTTATGATAATTTGAGAATGATTTGAAAATATTCAGATTTCAATTGACTATGCATATAGAATCAGTGAGAACAAAGAAGAATTTCTGTTGTTTTATTGATTTTTTGTTTTTCCTCTATTATTCAACTAAACTTATCAAAAAATGCTGTGAATAATAGTTGAATTGAGCTTTTTTGAGAAATATTGATCTAACAATCATTACATATATATATTATATTAATGTTGGTCAAACATACATCTGATTTAGTTCTCTTTGTACATTGATTGTTTTTAAAATACATCTACGTAAAGTTTATCGAAGAAAGAAAAAGAAAAGTCATCTGTATTTTTATTTTTTCGACAGGTAAGAATGTTAAATCACCGAGAAAAATTACTTTACTTTTTATAAGTTAATGTTGTTTTTTATTCCAATCAATTTGCAAAAATCTGTTATTATATTTCATGAAGAAAATTCAAAAATTTTCATAGTAACGCAAACATATTTAACATCTTTCTGTCGGTGACATCTGTTGACACATGTTAATCTATGGCTATGATTAACTTCCAGATGGAAACTGAACAACAGCAGGTAAGTAAAAAACTATTCGTTCATTCGTTCTTATGACGATTTGCCTGATCGATCAATAAAAAAAAAAGAGTTTTATTTTTTAAACTATTTATATTGAATGTCTTGTTTTCTTATATAAAATTCTCTGCCGCTAATACAGTCTGTCGTTATAGCGGAACTAGTTTTCCTAGTTACTTGACTAAGAAATTGGTTCAGAATTATTATTATCTTGTCGATATTTATTTATTTATCTCTATATCTGTATATTGAACTTGAAGATTTTTCTCACTCTAATTCAATTAGGATTGATTCAATTTCTATTGCGATATCTGAGTCTCAACCTCATTCATTAGCTTACTATTTATTTTTTAAAATATAATTCATCAAAAATATCTTAGGTTTAATACAGAAATATTTTCTATATTGTTGGTCGTTATTTCTATTTGAAATCTAATAATAATAATCAACAATATGAAACATTCAATTCACCAGAGTCAAGTATTTATTTTACAGAATAACATTCTACATATTTAGGTTCTGATTGTTCTACATCAATTGGTGAAACAGACATTGAAAAGCTCCATGAATTAACTACAACAAATTCTATTGGTGAACAAAAAACATCGATGGTTTGTTTTTCATATAAGTTGTTTATTTTGATTAATTGTTTTTCATATTATTATTCATATCTAATAGAGAGAGAGAGAGAGAAGTAAAACAATAAATATACTTAATTATTGTTATTGTAGATTAATATAATTTTTTCGAAAAACTAAAAATCATTGAGCAATATGAATGAATTGTCTAATGAATCAAATTCAACTGTTGAACCAACATCACCGTCACCACCACCACCACCACCACCGCCAACAACAACAACATTATCACCGGATGAAGTATGAATTTGTTGAAGTAATTATCTAAAATTTAGTTTATTTCAATAAGCTTCGTCGTCGTCGTCTGGAAAAATTTTCTTCTGGATCAACATCAAAATCTCAAACTTTGACTAGTTCTAATGATGTTAATGATAAACAAGTATCAACACAATTATCTAATGAACTTGCTAGTAATTATTTAATTCTTTATCTATTTAATAAAAATAAAAATAAATCTTTGTTTTTCTTCAGCATGTCAAATTGATTCTGAACAAACCAATTTAATTGATGATACACATATGGATATTGGAGAATTACCTACAACAGAACTAATAGCAGCTAGTGGCGAACAAAGGTTCTCGTTTTTTTCTTCTTATTAGAATTTTGAAATTAATTGATGAATATTGTTTGTTTGTTTTTTAGATTATTAAAAAGTCAACATTCAACCGGTGATAAACGTTCGTATGATATTAATTCGAATAATACAACTAAAGAGATAATACAAGATAATCAAGTTTATGACGATGGAAATAGAAATGGAACGATAAAAAAAAGAAAATCTGAAGTATTTTTAGTTTTTATTAAAAATATTATTTATTAAAGACAATATTCTTTTATTTTCTATTAGAATTTATTAAATAAAGAACCCGAAGAACCAATTATTCGACGTATTATTCGTTTAATAATGAATATTACTGATCAAAATCAATTATTTTTTAATGATTTGATTGAAAGTAACCAATAAATAATATTTTGTATCTTATTAATAATTTTCTTTTTTAAAGTATCTCTTCAACGTCGATCAAAATCAATTTTATCCGATATATTTCTTCGATGTCTCACATCAACACAATCTGATTTAATCAAATCTTTAATTCGGTAATGAAGAAAAAAAAACAACTTTCATTTCTTATAAATTAACATGTATTTTTTTGTTTAAAGTAATGATTCAAATTACTCAGATCAATATGATATTTATCTTTGGTATTTTTTAAATGTTTATACTCGCTGTGATTATAAAAGCTCATTGGTAAATTAAATTAAATTTATTTGTTTTTAAAAATATTCAATTTTCGTCTATCTTTTTTTTCTTCTTTGCATTAGCAAGAAGAACGTGATCTTACTGAACATTGTCGATTATTATCTGTTCGATATACTCTTATTTATATAACAAATAATGGAATATTTCTTGATTCTTGGAATAAAACACTCAAATTACTTGATATTTTATTAATTGATACATGTCCCGAATCTTTACGTACATCTTTTTTACATGACATTGTTAAAATATCATACAATCAGGAACCAAAAATGAAGGTAACTTAGACAAAAAAAAATATAAATTCTATTTCAATGTAAGCTAAATTAGAATCATATGAGTAAATTTTAGTCTAATAATATTAATTTATCTACGAACTGAAATTGAAGGATTTCGGATTCATGAACATATTGCCCAAAAATTTAGTAAACTTGGAAATTATTGTAAACTAAGATTTTAAAAACGAATATAATCGTTTTGTATTAAAATTTCAACATATTTCAATGACTCAAAAATCTTCCCATAGACTATATGTAGGCTCATATGTATTGATTTTAATTTATATGAAAACATTATTATAAAACTAAACTATAATTACGAGAGAATTTCTTCAACTGTTGCCTATTGATTTCAATGATTTTTTTTTACCTTTAGATATTACATGGTGTTCTAAGAAAAACCCTAAACGGATTTGGATTCTAATTGAAATTTGACTAAGTTATCGAATTCTTAATATACCTATTTTCTAGAAGTTTTAGGCTTTTGGAAAATTCGTATTTTCGAATTTCGATCTGAAACTTTGCGCATATAGAGAACTCAACTACACTAACTTTCTTAAAAAAATCAGAAGTCTTGAACAAAATCTCTTTGAGATATGAAGCTTTCAAAAAATGCATGTTGTATATACGATCCATGGAAAAGGATCTGCATCTTTAAAATTCCATATCTCGAGGAGGCTTTGTTCAAAACATGTGATTTTTTTTAAGAAAGCTATCATAATTGATTTCTCTGTGTGTAAAGTTTCAAATTAAAATTCGAAAATAGGAGTTTTCCGAAGGTCTGAGCTATCTACAAAATAGATATATTAAAAATTGGATAACTTAGTCAAATATCAATAGGAACCGACACTCGTTTAGTTTCTCTTAGAACACTATGTAATATCTATAGGAAAAAAAATAATTGAAATCGAAAGAAGACATTTGAAGAGCTTTCCTTATGAGTAACTCAGAAGTGTACTAGTTTAAATTGTAACAATGATTTTGAAACTTACAAGGGAACGTTTCTAAGTGTCAAATCTCATGTGAGTCGAGATTATGCGCATTAATGTAGATTCTAATGAGCTATGAATACCCTGAAAAGAGTTCGAGCTAATAGCTTATTACTGTCTAGGTACGAAAGGTTTGGACACAATGCTGTAGTCCTCTTCAGGAACACCACGAAAATGAAGTTTCAGATTTCGGCTTGAAACTTTGCATAAAGACACATCTTAATGAGAATAGTTTACTGTAAAAGTTTCAGATCTTATGATTGCTTCTATTCTAAGATATATCCATGATAAAAGGCTGTTTTTCATGTCGCTCATATACAATGGCTGATTCCGATACTCTTATTGAAAAAAAAATAGGCGTGCCTGAGAAATCTGAAACTTTCATAATAAGCTGTTCTCATTGAAACGTGTTTTCGTGCAGTCTTAAGTCGAAATTCGAAACTTAGTTTTCCTGGTGTGCTTGAGAGAGATCGTGGCATTTTGTTCAAAGGTATCCCAAAAATACACTATCTCGGCAGTAATAAACTACTGTACTAACCTAAACTCTTTTTTATGGTATATATAGCTCATGGAAATCTAAATGATGCACATAGTGTCGAATTAAAAGTGATTTGATACTTTGAAATGTTCCTCCGTTAGTTAATCGCCGAAATTTATTCTATATTACTTCCAAAGAAAAGTTTTTCTGCATCGAAACGTTTTATTATAACATAAAGCTTGGGTGTAGCAAGCGAACGTACCTATTCTTGATGGTTTGTTTCACTGCTAAAGTGGTATAAATGTAATACTTACAATAGGATCTTATACATTAAGATTGACTCATCAATAAGTCTTTTATCAATCTATCTTGAAAAATCTAGGAAAAGTATACAGTGCTTCTTAAAACTATATCATCAGATTTATTTTCAATTGTTTCTATTGTCGTGATTCTAATAAGAATTCAAATAGTACTTTGTATAGAGAATTTTATTTCTAACAATAATTTTCGAAAATAAAAAATAATTGTTAATTTTTTAAGGATAGGGCCTTTGAAAAACAAAAAAAAACTTAGTTTTCTATCCTCTGGAATTGGCAAATTGAATACTGTTTGAATTATCGAGAACAATAGAGCAAATAATGAAACATTCTCCAACTTTCTACGACATTTTTTGACCGTAATACATTCATCTTACAAGAGTCTCAAAAATTATGTTTTCATAGGAAATAGTAGAAAAAAAAACATTTATGCATTCTCTAAGGTTGATGAATTTCGATCAAAAAAGAAGTTCGTAGAGAACTGGAAGATGTTTCGATGTTTTCTCTATCATTTTGGGTAATTCAAACAGGATTCTATTTGCGAATTCCAGAAAATAGGAAGCTTTAGTTTTTGGTCTTTCAGAGGTCTTATCCTTGAAAAACTAGCGATTCATTTCATTTTCGAAAATTCTTATTGAAAATAAAATTCTTTGTACAAATCACTATTTGGATTCTTATTAGGGATTGCGATCGTAGAAAAAACTGAGAATAACCCTGATTGAATGACTCTGGAAGTCATGGTCGGTGATTTACCATAACCTTTGTGTATGAACGTTCAAGATATTTTATGTGTATTTTGCCAGTCATTTCAACCTAAAACATTTAATATTCTATATATTTACTGAATATTCTTGAAATCCGATATCAGTTAATCATTTGTAAAAAAGAAAAACAATATTATATCATTTTTACAATGAATCGATTTCTTTATTTATTTTTCTTTAAAAGGTTTGTGAAATACTTGTACGTACAATTCTTTATCGTCTTCGTCAAACATGTTCACAAGCAAATATATATATAAATCTTTTATCATTACTTTTAAATTTATGTGAATGTCGAAATGGAAATGATAGACCTGTATGTACATATCTTGTGACATTAAATGATTGGTTACCACAAGTAGCATTACATGATGGAAAAAGTTTACAGCGAATGACACTTTTATCACCGATTTTTTATATATCATGTTTTGCTGAAGATGATATTGATTTACTTGTCAGTCAACTTGAAAAAATCAATGAACAAGAACAAGATGATGATGATGTAATTATATTCCTTTTTCTTTTCCTAAAAATAATTTAAGATTTTCTTTTATTTTATATTGTTTAAAGAATAGTCAAGATTTTTCTGAATATAAAGAAAAACAAATTCGTTCAACAATACAAAGTCAATTATATACAGCACGTAAATTAATGCATAAAATAGTACTTGCTTTTTTTTCTAATATATCATCACGTAATGCAATGTTGGATTATTTACAAAAATTTATTCAATTAAATATTAAACGTACTCATCTTACTGTAAGTATATATTAATAAAATCAAAAGAATGAATTATACATTAAATTTATTAGTTTGTAACTCACATATATTTTCAAAGAAACTACAGGGAATGGAGATTTAAAACGAGGTTTCTACGTCTCCCGCAGGTTGTAGCAATAGTAGGAGAGGAATCTAACGATCATCTGATATGAAAAAAAAAACAGTAAATATATTCTTATTCTTATAAATATTTTTTTTTTAATTTCCTTCTTTTACTTTTCACTGTGCCTATTCCAAAAACATTTAAGTACAGGCAAAAATCTTTTGTCTTATGATTATCAAGTAGTTTTTTCTTCTGTATGTTGTAATTATTTTGATCGATCAAAAACATAGATTAAATCTGTTTTGACATTCTCTGTTGAACGTATATTGTTCGCAGGCACGATAGTTAGTAGTGTATGCTGTAACAAGCCTTAGAAATGTAAAAAGCTACTTTTATTCGTCTTGAATTCGAATGGAAATCGTTCGGTCAGCTCGACGAGTTCCTTGAACAAGAATCTAAACATCATTTTAAATTGAGTTTTAGATGAAATTTTTGAAAGAAAGAATCATAAATCAACAAAAACTATAGTTAATCTCAATTTAATATAATATATTAATAACAAGAAACCTCTGATTCTTTAACCATTTTTATTCGTTTGATTTCATTCTTTATTTATTACATTGGAATTTTTTTTTTCATGTATTTCAAAATATACAAGAATGTCATACTTATATTCTCGTGTCTTTTTATTTTCCAATAACATCTGTTTGAGTTTACATAAATATTAATAAGAAAAACGATTTGATTGGTTTTTATTGGTATACATAGAACACTAATGAGTTACTTGTCATCGTCTTTGAGATTTGTTGATTACACTATGATTGATAATTTTCAACTTTTGATTGCAGAGGAAAATAGTATAACGAGCCAAATACAGTAAATTAATTAGTACGCCTGTAAAAAAAACCAACAGCTCATTAGTATTCTATCAATTGATTTATTCGTTGACTTGTTTCATAATGCTTAATGACATAAAAATATTCTAATTTAAGCAAAACATCAATATTTATAGATTAAAGTCAAATAAAGTAATGATATTGTCCTCATAATAAATGATTATCTTAGATAAAATAAATATGATATAAAGTAACAAGACTAACGAAAACGACTTTATTTCGATAGTGTTATATTTTTTTTAAAGAAAAAGTTATTTATAGAGAACGATTCAAAATAATTTTCAATGAATGAATAATCTTAGAACATTTTTCATTATCATGTAAAATCTTTTATTTATATGTGTCAAGGTTGACGAAAGTCAAGTTACTGGTGATGGTTTTATGCTTAATCTTACGTTTGTTCTTCAACAACTTGCTTTACCAATTGATGTAGAACGAGTAAACAACATGTTTTCTATAACTAATCTTTATTAAATAATATTTTTTTATTGTTAAGGTTGATTTATATTATCCATACTATGCAGATGATCGTTTATCAATACCTAAAGATCAATCTCGATTATATTCAACTCAAGATGAATTTAAGACATATCAAGAAAATATCCGTTCGTAACATAATTTTATTGAATTTTACTTTGAATTATTTCATTTACTTATTTATTGTTTTCATTAGAAAAACCTCATGAAATACGATTTCCAACTGAATGTGTTTATCTTACATTACATATTAGTCATTTGGGTCTTGTTTCAACTGCTAAAAAACCACAACGACGAAATAATATTATTCGTGAATTGAATAGGTAACAAAAGCAAAGTCATAAAAGTTTTTCTTTAATCTTTTTATTTGAATAAAAAAAAAAGATAATAAATATAATTGAAAAACGTTTAATTTATGTTGTTTTTTTGGATTCTAGCGCGATTAAGAATCTAGAACAAACGCAAGGAACATGGCGACAAACTCCAATGGCTTCTCGACATGAAGCTCAGCTTGAGAGACTCAAAGCTGAATTAAAGGTAAGAAAATAAATAAAAATTAAAAAAAAAAAGAAGATAATTGTCAATGCGTGTTTGATATACAGAAGATAAAAAGATAGTAAAGAGTTTTTGTTTTAATTGACGGGTACGAGTGGCGTCAAATTAGAGTCATTTTGGCCAGATACATAGACAGGAAAATCAAGAACGCGTAATCGTTCATGATAATCGTCTAAATAAAAAATTTTATTCAATAGAAAATAAGAATAAGTTTTGTTGTTACCTGTAACAAAAGCTCCTTCACCTTCCATAGAAGTATTTCCGTATCGAACACTAATTTTTGTTGCTAATTGATCGATAACCGAACCATAATCTACATATGATTCTTGTTGTTGTTGTTGTTGATCTAAACAGAAAACAAAAAAAACTCTATCAATAGAAAATTAAAAATAAATTAACCTTGGACTTGTCTGTAAACAATTTTTTTAATAAGCGATCGACCTGGAACACAACAACATTTGACACACCATCTTTGTTGTTGTGGAATAAATACTGGTGGCGGAGGTGGAGGTGGTGGTTGTATTGGTGGAAGAATACGTATTCGTGGTATTTGTAGTGGTGGAGGAGGAGGTGGTGGTGGTTGTATTGGTGGAAGAATACGTATTGGTGGTATTTGTAGTGGTGGAGGAGGAGGTGGTGGTGGTGGTACTGGTGGAAGAAGACTTACTGGTGGTAATTCAATACAGAATAATTCTGGTCGAAGATGTGATGGTAAATGAGCATATTTATGTGTTTCTGGACATGGTACGAGACAGAGACCAGTTTTAGGATCAATACGAGGCGAGCAACGGCGAAATGTGCCATCTGTTTCATATGCACGACCATTATCAAGTAAACGAACCGTTGGTAAACGAGTTTGTGGTATTCGTTGACGAATCATTGGTATTGATGTAGATCTTCGTGGATATTGTTGAAATATTTGTGATGGTGTTTGTTGTAAAGGTGGGACTGTAATGATCGAATCTTGCTGTATTGATGCGGGCTCCGAATGTGCACGATATCGTTGTTGTTGTTCTTCGTATTTATCTAAAGGTATGTTTTGATAATGTCGCGGTTGAGCTGTTATTTGTGAAGGAAAATTATAATTTGGTTGGTAAAAATTATCGTTGAAGGACAGATGAGAAGGGTAAGGTAATGTATGATTGTATATTGATTGCTGTTGTTGTTGTCGTGGTGGTTGTATTTGTGGTTGTTTGTGTTCTGTGTATTTATAAAATGATAAAGGTACGGATTGGGGTATTACGGGCATCACATGACCTGTTTCAGTGACTAATGGTGGGCTATATTCGATAGTTTGTTGCCCTCTTGAATCAGTAGGAAAATCTCTTGTTGGAAATTGAGACAAATAAGGTTTTGTATCGAAAAATGATGGTGTTTGATCATATGTATGTTGTATAATATTAGATTGTGTTGTGAAATCATGAGGTGCTGTTTGTGTCCAACCATCAATAAAATGTATTTCACCTTTTCCAAAATAAGGTTGTGGTAGTGCTTGATGATCATAATTAGTAAATGATATTTTATTTGATGGTGGTAATAGTTGTTGATCATTTTGAGATATTACTGTTGTTATTGGTTGTTCAGCTCCTATTTGTTGATATTGACCAATTTCTGGTTGATTGATTACATTTGTATTATATATTTGATATTGTGAATCAGTAATTTGTTGTTGCGGTTGTTGTTGTTGTTGTTGTTGTCTCCGTTTATTCCATAATTCTTGATATTTTTCACAACAATCAACAATACATTGTCGTAAATTAAAAGGTTCTTCAATTCCTGTAATAGTTCCACAAGGTCTACGATCAATATCTGGAACGGATGCTGATTGTAATGGTTGATAAGTATAAATACTTGTTTGATCGGTTGACGGAATAATTGACGTATATGAACGACTTGGTCGTTGTTGCATTATATTATATGCAAGACGATCATGTGTAGGTGGTGGAGGAAAATCAGATATATTTGTTCCAATTGACTCTTGTTGATGATCAATTTCTTCTATCACCGGTGGTGGTGGTGGCGGTGGTGGTAATGAACTAAATGTATCATAAGTAGAAGTTTCTATTTCGCTCCTTGGCTCTATTTTCTGAAATATTTCATGTATTGGTTTTCTTGTAGAAGTTTCTTGAAGAAGACCTTGTTGACCTTCTTCGTAAAGTAATGATGAAACCGGTGGTGATAGTTGTACTATTTCTGGGACAACAGATTGGTTTGTGTAATTTTGAAGATCATACGTTTGTGCAGATTCTTGTAATGGATGTATATCCACATTTTGTTGACCAGTAAAAGGAATTCTCGTTTTTGTACGAAAAGATTGCCAATTATCTGAGGACTTAACCGGTCCTCCAATTTCTTGTGGATATAATTTTGACTCAAATTGTCTCACATAATCATTGACACTCAATGATCCAATTTTTTGTGGTTGTTCATGTTGTTGAATAAAAGTTTCAGTTGAATAATCATCTGATAAAGGCTCTTGTGCACGATATGCTTGTCTCGAATATTCTATTCTATCACTTGGAATCACTCTATCAGTTAATCGCTGAACACGTGATCCTGAATCGTAAATTTCAGATGCAGGAAAAGATACTGGCTGTTCTTGATAATGAACCGACGAACTAAACCCTTGACTTGAGTCGTCTGTCGTATATACCTGATCCTTCTGTTGAACGTCACTTCCAGGCACTAAATAAGATGTAGCAGCGTCAGATACGTATTTGTAGGAAACTTGCTCCTGATTTTGTCCAACTTGAACACCTTCTTCGAGACTGTATGAATACTGAGGCGTCTGCTTTTCTGTACCTTGAAAATCATATATGGGTCTCTGAGCTTGATAACTTTCCTGAGTATATTTAACTGCTTCAGTTGGTTGCGTAAAAGTTTCTATTACTTGAGACGTAGGAACTGGTACTGGTTGCTGTCCGTAGTAACTCAAAGAAGTACGTACTTCAGGAACATGGTCAATTGTTTGTTTCACTTCCATCAGTTGAATATTAGCTCCGGGTGGAACATAAGCTCTAGCAACTTCAGATACATAATTTACTGCATCTGGCTGTGCAGGTTGCTGTTTTTTAATACCTTCAAAGCTGTATGAATATTGAGAAGGCTGTTGTTCTGCACCTTGATAGTCATAGATCGGTTTTTCCGTTTCATAAAATTCCCTTGTGTATCCTCGTGTCCCAGTAGGTTGAATATAAGTTTCTTGCACCTGAGACGTAGGAACTGGCACTGCTTGTTGTTCGTAGTAATTCAAAGAAGTAGGTGGTACAGGAACATGATCAATTATTTGTTTTTGTGGTATCTCTTGGATATCAGATCTACCCGTAAAATAACCTCTAGTAACTTCAGGTACATAAGTAACTCCTTCTGGCTGTGTAGGTTGGTGTTCTTGGACACCTTGGATGCTGTATGAATATCGAGAAGGCTGTTGTTCTGCACCTTGATAATCATAAATTGGTTTCTGTGATTCATAAACTTCTCGTGTGTAGTCTAATGTTCCAGTTGGTTGAGTATAAGTTTCTGTCACTTGAGACGTAGGAACAGATGCTGATTGTTGTTCATAGTAACTTAAAACCGTAGGCGCAGCAGGAACCTGATCGATTATTTGCTTTTGCGGTATCTCTTGAATATCAGATCTACCTGTAAAATACGCTCTAGGAACTCCAGGTACATAAGTAAGCGCTTCTGGCTGTGCAGGTTGCTGTTGTTGAATACCTTGGATGCTGTATGAATATTGAGAAGGCTGTTGTTCTACACCTTGATAATCATAAATTGGTTTCTGTGACTCATAAACTTCTGTGTATCCTAATGTTCCAGTTGGTTGAGTATAAGTTTCTGTCACTTGAGACGTAGGAACAGATGCTGATTGTTGTTCATAGTAACTTAAAGCCGTAGGCGCTACAGGAACCTGATGAATTATTTGCTTTTGCGGTATCTCTTGAATTTCAGATCTACCCGTAAAATAACCTCTAGTAACTTCAGGTACATAAGTAACTCCTTCTGGCTGTGCAGGTTGCTGTTGTTGAATACCTTGCAGGCTGTATGAATATTGGGAAGGCCGTTGTTCTGCACTTTGATAATCATAAATTGGTTTCTGTGATTCATAAACTTCGCGTGTGTAGTCTAATGTTCCAGTTGGTTGAGTATAAGTTTCTATCACTTGAGACGTAGGAACTGATGCTTGTTGTTGTTCATAGTAACTTAAAACCGTAGACGCTACAGGAACCTGATCGATTATTTGCTTTTGCGGTATCTCTTGAATATCAGATCTACCCGTAAAATAACCTCTAGTAACTTCAGGTACATAAGTAACTCCTTCTGGCTGTGCAGGTTGCTGTTGTTGAATACCTTGCAGGCTGTATGAATATTGGGAAGGCCGTTGTTCTGCACTTTGATAATCATAAATTGGTTNATAACTGTTTCTCGTATATTCAATTGTTCCAGTTGGTTGACCATAACCACGTTCAGCTTGAGTTATTACACGTGGTTTTCGTAGTTCTTCGTAGTAGGTAGAAGATGTATCTGTCTGACTCAAATGATCCATTGTTTGTTTGCGCTCGGTTTGCTGAAGATCAGCACCGGGTGTTTCGAGGTTATATGAATATTGAGTAGACCGTTGTTGTGCACGTCTATCGTCAAATATTGGTTCTTGTGATTGATAACTTTTTCTTGTATATTCAACTGTTCCAGTTGGTTGACCATAACCTACTTCAGCTTGAGATATTACGCCTGGCTGTCGTAGTTCTTCGTAGGAAGTAGAAGATGTAAGTGCTTGACTCAAATGATCGATCGTTTGTTTCGGTTCGGTTTGCTGAAAAGCAGCTGCCGGTGTTTCGAGATTAAATGAAGATTGAGTAGACTGTTGTTGTGCACGTGTATAATCAAATATTGGTTCTTGTGATTGATAACTTTTTTTCGTATACTCAAATGCTCCAGTTGGTTGACCATAAGCTCCTTGTATTTGAGATGTTGGGACCGGTATTGGCTGTTGTTCGTAATAAATTGAAGATGTAGGCTGTTGACTTAAATAATCGATTTTTTGTGTTCGTTGTGTTTGCAGAATATCTGTTCTCACTGGAATAGAAGCAGCTGGTGTCGTCGTCGTGTAGTCAAACGATTGCTTTTGTTCAATATTCTGGATGTTATATGGATATTGAGATGTGATTTGTTCTGTAGCCGGATATTCATAGATTGGATGTTGAGATTGTGTACTTGTTGTTGTGTATTCAAAGGTTGTTGACGGTTTACCATAAGCGTTTTGTCCTTGAATGAGTTGAGTTGGTACTTGTTGATAATATTCAGATGTTAAATGTTGCATTCCACTTGGAACTGCAGCATCTGTTGATTGAAAAGTAGAATGTGGCAGTTGACCTGAATATTCAAAAGATGTTTGTTGTTGTCTTTGATCTGTTAATGACTGTTGAATGAAATCAGTTGTAGAAGGAACGGCTTGATGGGATGTATAATCGAATATATTTGGATGAATATATGGTTCTTGTATGTTCTGTGTTGTGAATTTATAATAGTCTGTTGTTGTAGGTTGTATATCAGTTGGTACTCCGGCATCAATATTAGAAGTTGTTAATGAAGAAAACGGTACTTGATTTGTATACGTATTAATAGCATCTAATGTTTGATATTGTTGTATATCAGTTGGTAAAGAAGTTGTTTGAACTATATTTGTGTAATCATGTGTTCTAATTGGAATGTATGGCGTTTGTTGCGTTTGAATTGATGTGACAATATTTGTTGGTTGACCTATTATATCTGAGTAATATGAAGTTGACGGCGGTTGTTGCCATTGTGTTTGTTGAACAGTGTCAAATGAAGAAGGTGTTGGTTGAATAGGAAAATTTGGATATTGATTAGTATAATACAAATGTCGGTATGGCTGCTGTTGTTGTGGAGATCGTCTAAGACGTCTTGCTTTTCGTGCTTGTCGAGCAGCTCGTCGTCGAGCTACGCGTTGACGATGAGCTTCAAAACATCGTAATATACAATTATCGAGATCAAATGTTACTTCTTGTCGTGGACGGACAGGTCTTGGGAACATATTGTCAGTTCTACCAAGTTGCTCGTTGTTGATATTATGAGAAGATATAAGTAATGCCTCGTCGTTACCTTGTTGCTGTTCTTCAAGATTGGAAAGTAATGAAGAAGATTGGGAAGGTGAGGCGTGACGATCAAATGATGTAGCGGATAAGCCTTGAAAATCGAATGCACTATGAACCTTATCATCAATATTGTCGTCATTGAGCACAGGTGACTCGGCTTCATTATACAATCGTTCTTCTTTTTTCTTTCTATACTCATCGCTTGTCGTTGTCGTCTTACATTCATCACTGAACAAAAATCAATGTAATATTGAAAAGATTCATAAGTAGGACGAAAGAAAAAAAAGACGAACAGCTTCGCTTTAGATTTTATCATCGTTATCAAGGTTTCTTTTAGAGCATAAGTGTATGTGTAGACTAATAATTTATTTGTATGTGTAAAATTATGACAGTCAAGGATATAGCATGATAGCAAATATATTGGCGTGTATATAGCAGCGAAAAAAAAAAATTTTTTTTTGAGAGAGAAAAAGAGAGAAAGCGTGAGAGAGAGAGAGAGAGAGAGAGAGAGAGAGAGAAAGAGAGAGAAAGAGAGAAAAGAAATGAAAAGTAGTTTGTTGAGTATGGTTCAGCACAGTGTTTCAATGTGATCATTGAATGTCTATTTGTGTGCACGTGAATGTGTGTATGTGTGTATTTGCATGTGCAAGGCTACCTGTTTGCATAAGTCACATTTTGATATTCACCGTAAGATTCTTAAAAGAAAAATGAAGAGAATGTTAGAAAATAGAATTATTGTTTTTCTTTTATTAAATTAAATACCTGCTGGAATATATTGTTGCGGAGGAGCTGGAAATCTGGGTGCTTGAAACAAATTTTGCTGAGATGCACCTGCAGGATAACCGTAGATAACTAATATACAAAAAAAAGATTGTATGTATTTTAAGATTTGAATCGTGCATCTTTTTTGTTCTTACCCTGAGGACGAACACGGTTGCCAAGTTCAGCACGAAGACGATGAAGATCGGATCGAAGAATTATTGTCGGTTGTGGCGCACGAATATAGATTGGAGCAAGAGGTTCTAAGATATAATTGATATATATATATATGTGTGTGTTTGAAAAACAAATCATTTTACCTAAATAATCGCCACTTAATCCTTCGCCATGATATTGTTGTAAGGTTTGATTTATAACTTTGGTTTGAAGATCCACAAGTACATCATTAACAACAGCCTGTGAAACAGATAATCCTTGAATTTGTGATATATGACTTGGAACACCTGATAGAGTTTGAGATGGACCAGATGGTCGAACTGGTATTTGTTGTTGTGCCATCGAATATATTCCTCCTATGGGTTGGGGTACTCGCTGTGTTGAAGTGGGTATAGATGTAGGTATATAAGAACCCGCATTAAAATTATTAGTATTTGTACTAGTTAAAGTGTTCAACGTAGTCCCTGATTGTGTCTGACCTTGGACTTGCTGCTGCTGATTCCTGCGAAGTAAAGATGCGTGAATAGAATAACTTAGTCGAGCAAATGAATTTCGAAAAAAATGATGCAGAAAGGACACATATACATATAAATGTCAAGAAGAGCAATAAGAAGATGGCGTCAATTTCTTCATTTTATGTACAGTTTAACCCTGAAAAGAATGGTTCATTAACAAAGTTTTCTTTTCTTTTTTGCCTCATTTAATATTTTATTTCAATCAGAAGAGTATAATTGTACTCATCAGTGTAGGACGAAATCAATCAATATTGAACACCCTTCAAGCAAACAGTCATGTTCATCTTAATGTTGAATATGTTGCGCAAGATGTACTGCTCATTAGAGAGTAAAGAAAAAGTGAACGAATCAATCAATCTGACATTTTTGCCATTGAATATTTTAATATTACCGAAGCTATTCTCTACTCTACCTGAGTGGTACTAAATTAGGTGTTGTAGCTTCAGGAAAATACTTCGACATTTCAGCTGATGAATCCAAACTTGAAATAGAATGAAATGAAGAAGTTGCTTGTACACCACCTAATGATTGAGTTATTGGTGCGTTGAATGCCACTTTTGGAATCGATGCAGTCGATTGAGAAGGAGTCAAGTTTTGTTGATGACCAATGAAATCTAAACTCACAGCATCAACTGGACCTTCAGCTAAAATATAAAGAGACGCTTAAATGCATGTCGGATTGTTTTTTTTTTTGTTTTGAATATTAAAAAAGAAATTAAATAATTTTCATTTATGTCATTAAACCGTAAAAAAATGTAATTGTAAAAATAAAATGAACTGTAACTAGCAAATAATTAAGATTTTACATACCAGATAATGTATATTGATGTCCTTGATTTTGGTCGCTGGTATTAATGCCATATTGATTATATTGAATTCCGTCCATCGTTAAAATATTTGATATAATATTATTCGAATATTTTTTTGCTATCCTATTGTATAACCTCTAAAGTATGTTCATCAACAATAAAGAAACGACAAATGTTTGTCCGCCGTCGCGTATCGAATGAAAAATAGTGATTGTGGTTTGTCTCTTAAATGAAACTATGTATGAATAATTGGCCGTTACACTTTGATGATTTTGCTGCACGTTGTCTACTCGTCTTACTATTTGTTGTTGTTTTTATCTTTCATTTTTATCATTAACGTCTATACATTAATTGACTTAATTGTCATCGTAATGAGCAAGAAAAAGGGATGCTTAATATTTAGTTGTTTTTTAGGCATTGAAGCGAGCAAAACAATGTACTAGTATAGCATTACAAGATGAAAATCTAATAGAAACAAGTTTAGAATTCTATGGAAAAGTTTCACAATTACTCTTACGATATGTTGGTATTCGACCAACAGAGTAAGTTTTATTTTATATAGGTTATTCTATTTTGTTCTCTTTAGCATCAAGAAAGATTATTATTTTTATTTTTCTCAAGGTTAAAAACTAATTTTTCTTCTGAAGCACCTTGGATATGGCGTTTATTACCCGATTATTATATTGATGATATATGGGATTTTCTTATGTCAGCCGCTATGTATGCAAGATTTATATTATGAAATAAATACACATTCTATTGTTTTAGGATGGTACCTCAAACATTAGCAAAACGTCACATTGATGATATTCTGACATTGATGCTTTTTGTCATTTGTGCACCACGTCATTATATACAAAACCCTCATTTAATTGCAAAAGCGGTTGAAGTTATACATTGGTTATGTGCAAGAAGCGAACATTCATTATTACGGCAGGCAACAGAATACTTATTTAATCACCAATTAGCACAAGATTCACTTGTACGTGCATTAACAAAACTTTATGCTGGTATAGGAAAAAAACAATTATCGATTTCTTTTGATAAATTGATAACTTCGTTTTCTTTTTCTTACACATATTCGCCACTATAGATGTTGAAACAACAGGTGCTGCAACGGAATTCTATGATAAATTTAATATTCGTTATCATATAAGTATTATATTTAAATATGCTTGGCAAAAAACATCATTTCGTCATTCATTTTTAACCATAGCTAGGTAAAATAAAAATCGATATTAATAATGTCATTTTTATAAATATTTTATCTAGAGATGAAAAAGAATTTATACGTTTTTTAAATATGGCAATTAATGATGTTACTTATTTACTTGATGAAAGTCTTCAATTATTAAAAAAAATTCATGATATTGAAACAGATATTGATAACAAAGAAGAATGGGAAGCAACTCCAATGGTACGAACAACAAAATCTTTTAGAAAATCTCCGCTTTTTTTTATTAACCTTTAAAAACCAAAGTTGGCTTTTTCGACAATGAGAAAATATAGACTATCAAAACAGAGATTCTGAACATTCAGTATGATCATATTATCGTTAAAAAAATATAAACTGTTTTTGTCATATAAACATACAAAATGTTCCTTGGAAGGAACATTCGATCATAACACACATGAATGTATGATTTTTCTTAATTTATGTGAGATTTTTTTTTCTAACAAAACAACTTCGATTTACTTATTTTATATAGCATCAAGAATCAATTGAATAAAATATTCACAATTTTTTTAACACTTCTCCACTTTTCATTTCTTTATAATACTACCCTATGAGTTCAAGCACATGTCATAAAAACCAATCTTATGAAAAACAAAAGAATTAGCTCATCGATGAAATGGCTTCTGGGTACTGTCTGGGAATAGGACCAGGACTACTGTGAAGTGTTAAGAATTGACCTGAAATTAGTAATTCTGCCATAAGCGGAACGAAAATTTTTCGGTAATATGGAATTTTTGACGATTGAGAGAGTGTGCAGCTGTCCTTGGAAGGAATCCAAGAAACCAAAAATTTGGCCACATAATATTTCAAATAGTTCTTTCATTATTCATCGGTTCATAGAATATTTCATGTCGTTATGATTGAATATCTTATCCAACGGATATGTTCTTAATGATTTTGCAATGAGTCAGTAGGTCATTTAAAAAATTACCGAACGGTTTCTTCAGATAGCTTAACACTGTCATTGGCGATATCAGTCAAAAAGAAAAACAAAATAAGTATGAGTAAACAAAGTTTTTAGAGTAAAAAAATTATGAATTTTAAAAAACTCTGCTATATCGTCTGACAGTGATGCACGAGGGATTTAGTTTTGACTTGATAATTTATAAGATCTTCTTAGCCTAGGAATATACTGCTTTTTGAATATATAGTTTTACTAAGTCTACAATACCAATGACTGCAAGGACCTTTACATGGAACATTCGGTTTTTATAAGTTAAATGTCTCTTATATAATAGGAAACACGTATGAATAAAACACAACAATTAAGTCAATATGAATCGCAATGTTGTACATATTTACCACTTGGTATGGAAACAATAAATATGCTTGAATATTTAAGTGCTAATGAACCAGGTCCATTTTGTTCAGCGGTAAATTAATTTTAATTGACAAGAACATTTCTAATGTTATTTTTCTTTAAAGGAATTAGTCGATCGTCTAGCAGCTGTACTTGATTTTAATTTAAATGAATTATGTGGTCCTAATTCACGTTTACTTAAAGTTAAAGATCCGAGTAAATGTTGTTTTGATCCAAAACGATTATTAGAAAAAATTGTTGAACTTTATTGTAACTTGGTATAGAAAATTCTCAAATGTGAATTCTCAGAAGAAAAATAAGTTTTTTTTTTCGCTTTTTTATCTTTGAATAGGCACTTGATGAACGTTTTGCTGAAGCAATTACACGTGATGAGGTAAAGAATTAGATTTTTCAATGTATTTTATTTCGTTTCTCTTTTAGCGTTCTTATCGACCAACTTTATTTAAAACAGCTTTTGAACGTATACAAAATCGTCATATAACAACATCATCACGCCTTGAAATACTTTATAATTTAAGTCAACATGCTGAACGTATTGCAGAAGAAAAATCCAAAGAAGAAATGGATCTATCCGATGCACCTGATGAATTTCGTGGTAAATTAATACTATTATTAATCCTTTGGCGATGGATTTTCTTTTTTTCTTTTAAAGATGCAAAAATTATGTTTTTTCTTTCATAAAATCTTGAGAAATTGGATGTATATATCAATGAACCTTATGGAATCCTATATCATAATACAGATTTCATAAAGTCTAGCATATGATTTAGTGAAGATAAATGATCGAATAAGTTAGAATTTTCACAAAAGTTCAAAACATATATATATATATACAGCAGTTACAAAAAGTTTCGCTGCTAGGTAAAAAGTACCTAAACTTCAATCCTTTAGTCCCATAGTTTGACCACAAATAGAGCATGTTGAACTTTAATGATAAGAAATAATCAAGACTTGATCGGTCGTCATGTGAAGAAGTTAGAAAGTCAACATAGATAACAAATCTCATGACTTTAGATCCCTAGCTCAACGCTGCCTCTATCATCAATAAAAATTCTATGTCAGACGGTTTTAGTTTGCTTCATTAATAAAGTAGTCTTTAGGTAATCTCTACATGAGAGCTGATGGAAATCATTGAAAAGTAACAGAGATCTTCAGCTTATTTTAACTATTAGCCTTGAAATTTTCTCCAATGAAGTTTTTCTTTAAAATTTGCCAACCTCAATTGGTAATTAGAACTTAAGGAGAAATGACTGAATTTTATATATTTTTTCCCCGGTAGCAGAATTTCTTTCGGCTACTATACGTTTTACATCACGAAAGGGTTAAAAAAATCTTTGTTTTTTCTTTCTATTGCAAAAAAAAAGTTTTCTTTTGTTTTTACCAGATCCATTAATGTGTACAGTTATGACTGATCCAGTCATTTTGCCAAGTGGAGTTATTATGGATCGTTCAGTAATACTTAAACATTTGCTCAATTCAAATACAGATCCGTTTAATCGTCTTCCATTAACCATTGAACAACTAGTACCTGGTAAAAAATTAAATTTGAATAGAAATTTTTGAAAAATACATTTTTTATACTTTTTTTAGCTGTGGAACTCAAAGAACAGATTGATAATTGGATATACGATAAAAAAAAGTCGAACAGTTTAAAAATATAAAATATATCTATATTTGCTTGTTTGTTTGTTTTCTTTTTCCTGTTCGTTCATGTGCTATATATTCCCAATGATCTTTCATTTTTATTTATTCAATTTATTGTGAAAGTTCAAAATAAGAAAAAAAGTGAAAAGCCTCTTTCTGACATCTTCACCTATTTTATGTTATTCTAGATAGAATAACATAAAAAGAAAAGACGAGAATGGATATGGAAGATGGTGTGCCACGTAGACAACCACTTTTTCGTACGCAATCAGCTCAACAAGTGCATAAATTAATAAAAAAATCGACTAACAAAGACACTCAATCAGTATCAAGTTATATTGCTAGTCGATCATGTGATGATTTAAATATGAATAAAAGTAAATCATTAGTTGATCTTGCTGTACCAGCATGTAATTCAACAATGAAAATTATTGATCAAATGGAAAATTTAAAATTTGAACATTTTGATCCTGTTTTAACAACAACACATATTGATCATATAAATGAACAGGTAGAAATTGATATTATTTTTAATATTTAACTAATGTTGTACAAACTATATATATATATAGGCAAATAAAAAATTAAATTATTCAAATGAACGAATATATAGAGGTTTGATTGATCTTGAACCGAATGCTGAAGAAATTATTGCAGCAGCTGAACAACAAGAATTCCAAAAACGAAAACAAGCAGCAAAGTTTTTAGTAAATTTTGTTAATTTTGCTTTTGTTTTCTTCAAAATTTGTTTTATTATTCTCTTTAGGAAGAATATCAAACGTTACAAAAGAAACGTATTAAACCAGATATTATGGAACTATTTGATGAAACAACAATGATAAAACAAACAACACGTATTAATTTAAAACCATTAA